TTTGAAAAACAGAAACACAAGGCAACCCTCTCTCAGTATCCTCACTCTGAAGATGTTGATGTGTGTTGCCTTCAGGAAGTCAGAACTAGTGCTCATTATGCAAAAATTACTGGATACACATATCGTGATAAACCTAATATTGCTAATCCTTCTACAAGAGGACTTGGCATTTATATTAAGAATATTATTCCATCAAAAGTGATCGATGGCAAACGTGACAACACATGTGCCGAATATCTTGGTGTTAAAACATTTCTTGACGGTAAAACTATCACCATCATTAATGTATATAACCCACATGATACTGAAGTGGTACCAAAGCCTCCTGACAGTATGATACATAGTGATACTGTCTTATTGTGTGGGGATTTTAATGCTCGTCATCCTCTCATGGGCCCTGAGGGAAGCACCATGGGCAAAAACGGTAAGGTCTAATATGACTATCTATAAAACACTGGTGACCCTATACAGCTATTATGCCCCTTGGAAAAGGCTCACTAGGTGGCAAATTACATTATATAGCTCTATACAATCAGCACTCCCAAGCACTGCGAAAGTCATCCCATTCTTAGTCAGTAACCGTTAGGCATTAAGTAGGCCTATAACTCTTCCATTTTGCAAGAGAAGCCCATCCCAGCCACGCTTTCGATATCATCTTGCTACTAAACATCATGGTGAGTTTATAAGAGGGATTGTCTGCTGGTATGAAGACTTTACTCCTACCAGCCTTGATCATTTTAATGAAACTCTCTGTCAATAAGTTGTTAACATCCTTAAAGAGTTCCACCCCAGAAACCCTGTCAAACGTAGGTGTCCATCCCCTAGAGGCAAACAAGCACATCACCTGAACAAAGATCCTGAAATAAAGTTACTTGAAGCACTTATAAGATCTACAGTAAATCACCTAAAGCACTTGGGAAGAAACCCCTACCTAGCTAGGGACTTTGTATTCTTTAGTGAAAAGCTTAATGAGGTAATAACTCGAAAGCAGGAAGAGAGATTGTATACCTGGACAGAATCGATTGACTCCACGACTCCCATGAGCAATATGTGGAGGGAAATCAAGATTAAAGGCAATGCATACAATGCGACTCCCCACCGTCATCCAGAAAGGGTAGTTTTTGTACTCCTCAGTAAATGCTGCGAAAATTCCTCTCTCGATAATCTTCCATTATCCATACACAGGTGCTCTCTTAAGTTAAAACACGCAAATGAAATTAACTATCAGTGCCAACTTCTAGAGGAGGCTGATGCACCATTACTAGTCATGAACTTCTTGCAGCCATTAAGATTAGCAATCCACTGCACCTGTGGATGATGGAGTCACTTATGACATCATCCGACTCCTTGCAAAGGTACAGGTAAAGGGAAGAAATCCTCTTCTTGATCTCTTCAACTTAACATATACTTCAAGCATCTTGCCCACTGCCTGGAAACAAGCTGCCATTATTCACATCCCAAAACCAGGATCCCTGATGAATCTATACCAATTTCTCTAACACCCTGTCTCTCTAAAACCTGTGAAAAAAATTTCAATCGTCTGCTCCACCAAATCAAATATCAAGTTCATCCATCAGTCTTTGGTTTCCAAAAAGTGAAAGGAACACAAATGTGTTTAGCCCAGTACCTAAATAGAAATAATGCACAGTCTTCTTACTTCATCTATTTCAAAGATGCATTCGACAGAGCCTCTCCTACTGCAATCCTCCATGAATTAACTCTTCTAGGAGTTAAGGGCAAACTTCTGCTATGAATAAAGAATTATCTATCTTTGAGAAGAGCAAAGGTATGGTACCAAGGCACATACAGTGCTTATTGTGAACAAGAGTTAGGCATTCCACAAGGTGGAGTTTTGTCCCCTTCATTATTTAACATACTTATGGACTCTTTGTAAGCTCAACAGTGAGTCAGGAGACTTTTGCAGCATCACATCCTATGCTGATTACATTCTTATTCAGGTCTTTGATAGGGGGGGGATATGTTCTCCAGAGACTCGGCA